GATAACAGGTACTAAACTGGCTGGAATTAGTTATGCTTATGAGCAGTAGTTGCCTTTTTTGCAATTCAGTTTATCCCTGAGCCGCTGCCTTGGAGTGTTTTTACCACTAATCTAGAGCAGCACTAAACAAAACCTCCCAGTGTGACTCCAATATTCAACACCTACCCTTTCACTACCATAACCTTTACCCCTACACTACTCTAGAGCATTACCCCTAGCACTAACCCTAACACACTAGTCTTAGCCTAGAATTATTAAGTAAAAGAGATACAAGATAAAATGTAAGATACATAATGGTAAGTGTGTGTAAGCAATATCTTCTCTGGGTTCTGGTGACATTGAAGCGGCATTGTCATTCTCCCCTAGGTACTGCTTTGTCTCTGTATATTTCCTCCACCTGACTTTCTTAAACACTGGGTGGCACTACAGTGTTAATCCTGACAGGCATCACCAGTGATGGCTGCAGATAATTTGTTCTGTCTATAGAGGTTCCCAGGGTCACGCGGGTTTCTCCATAGACCTCAATGCTGTACTATTGTACTCTCCTGAATATGAGCTCTCTAGTGTACTGATTTAGAAAGACCCAATCGACCATGTTCCCAACAAGCAAAGCACACTACCATTCAGCCAACACTAGGGTGCTTCAGCATCACTTTGCACATGAGCCCCCTGTATGAAGATGACCAGTGCAGCTGCATGTCCAGATTAGCATCACTGGTATGACTCTTGTTGGTATGTTTCATCTCGTCCCTTTAATTGTTGACATGTATGTGAGCTTTACTAGCTGCAGGACTGACAACTTGCATCCGGGTCTATAAAAAAAGAACAGAATTTGCACTGAGACTGTGATGTGCTTTACCCAAATATTTGCAAGAACAGTTCCTTTCATTACTCTTCCAGTTTAACAGTTTTGCCTGAAGCATTAGAAGATTAAATAATTTGTTTATGGCTATTGAGATACAGCAGAACAATTGAATCAGGTCTCTCTGTTAAGTCTCAGTGTAGCGGCTGGTGTTCTCTCATCATTCACGGAATTATGGTACAATAATCTCCAAATACTATGTTTACATCTACAATATATTAGGCACATGCTAAAGAACAGCATTTGTCGTCTTGTGAGTGAATATGATTCTTGGCAAATAAGCAAATGCTAAACTTGTCTTTTTACAAAGTTTATTTCAGATGCAGGATGGATATTGAACATAGCTTCCATCACCAATCAATCACATTTCATGCGTTTAATCTTCTCTCTTCTATTATGTTGAAGATAGTGAGACAGAATCACCAGTACGGATGGAAAATTATTTGGAGCAATGTATTAGACAAATGTGCAAAGTTAAATATGAAACTCGGATTGAAATAATTCTCCAACTCAGCTAATTTCCATGCTCACCTACTCTGACCTAATATTGTCAATTCTTGAATAATTTCTCCACAATAACAGTTTAGTTAATGGGCACTATAGTGTCAGGAACACAAATGTATATTCCTGACACTATATTTCTAAAATCACTATTTAGGTGCGCAGCTCCTCTTACCTCGGGTTAGAAAGGTGATTTACTCACCTTTCTCCAGTGGCCGCACAGGGCTCCTCACTTCTGGCCCCACCCAGGAAAGCATTGGAATGGCTAAGATTGTCAATTCTGATGATTAATTCTAATGGAGATACATTGAATCATTCAGCATTAAATTACATTTTAGCTCTGTAAACTGTTATTGGTAAGCCACCTAAAACAGATTCACCCCTGGCTATATCCCTACTCAAATCCCTAAAATTAACTTGTCCTCCTCTGTCCATTTAAAATGTTAGCAGGTATGTACATGCATGTTTTCTTTAAGAATATATCTACTAAATTGTTTTATAAAATTCAATGGAGATAAAATACATGATATTTGGAGTATGACTGATTTTTAGGCAATTTGATTAGTAAATCTGATTAGTAAATCTGATTATTGTTATTACTGTATTATATAGAATGTGCTTTGTTATATACAGCATTCCGAATATTTTAGAAAATGGAATTGTGTGTGTCTGTTTTCAGGACTACAGTTTGGCATGTGGGTAAAGAAAATTGAAATTTGTCTGTGTGCGAAAAAGGAATGTGTAGCATGTGTGTGTGAAAATGGGCACAAAGTTCTATCTATTTCAAACAACATGTGATGTGTCAGTAGAAAGGGTAATGGTAATGAGGCTGTGTGTGAAAGGTGTGCAGTGGTTGGTGTGTTAGAATGTTGTTGAAAAGGTGGTGTGTACCCGTGGAAAGGGAATAGGCAGCATGCTTTGGGTCTGTGCAGAAATGTAATTGATTGTTTTTGTGGTTTGTGTCTATGGTCATGGTGTATAATGTTTGTGTCTGTGGTGTATAATGAATTGGTGCAGTGTGGTTTCAAAGTAGTTCAGTGAGGAGCAAAAGAGATCTGTGTGTAGCATATAGATAACACTGTACATGCATATGTAATGTTTATTGCTAGTATATTCTTTAACTTTATTACTCAGCTATGCTAATTCACATAAATCATAACTCCCAACAGTTCAAATGCACAAAGGAACTCTAATTTTAGGGGTGTGAGTGGGGCTGTGGCCAGGTGCAGGACTGATGAATTTAAGTTGACTTACAAAATAATTTATGCAACTAAAATGTTACTTGGAACAAGAACAGTGTATCTTATTTACACAGACTGATTTGTAAACACATAATGTATATTGAAGTTTAAAGACACATTACTGTGAGTATTAATGCTGTGGAGCTCTGTTATACACTCAGACATACCAAAGAACTTAGGATAGAAAACAGGGATAGAGGGATTTGGGCACAAAATAGAGACAAAAGAATTGCAACATGTAGTCCAGAATAGTTAAACTGGAATATATCTCCAACATAGCGTGGCTTTTTAAAACTTATTTTTGTTGAGTTTTCAGTTAAAGTGACACTGTAGGCACCCAGACCACTTCAGCTCATTGGATTGGTCTGAGTGCAGTGACCCATGTTCCTTAACCCTACCTCTACCAGACCGCTACTAGAGGGACCTCTGGGTGCTTAGATGACTATGCATGAGGACTTTCAATGTCACCGGAATCCCCATAGGAAAGCATTGAATACTGCTTTCCTATGAGAAAATCCAAATGCGAGCATGGCCATTGCTGTGCATGCGCATTAAGTCTACCCCGCCAGCTGATGTCGATGGGGGAGGAGTGTGGGCTGAGCCTGACCCAGTGCTGAGGGACAACGGCGCTGGATTCGGGTAAGTGACTGAAGGGGTTTTACCTCTTTCAACGCCAAGTAGGGGTAAGGGTGGGCATGAGGGAGGGGAGCACTGTAGGAACCTAAAGTGCCAGGAAAACGGCCCTATAGAATCCTTTTAACTATAACTCTAGGAGGTTTCTTCCATAGACTCCAAATTGTAGAAAACTTCTGAACAGCAAAGTGTAAACCAAAATAATTGATTTGGTAAAATTCTCCTACTCAGCAATTGTTACGGTTTTGTTAATGCTTCAGACCTGAGAAAGAAAGGAAGACTCTGGAAAGCTTGTATTTTTGCATACTGTAATACCATGATTATTCTGATGTTTTTGTATTTAATTTGTAAAGCACTCTGGATAAGAGTGCCATGTAAGTACTGTAAAATACATATATCAGCATTACATTCTTTTACAGACACATATGGCTGAATAGGAAGCATCGTTAACTTGGGAGAATGTTTTCAACTCACCTATTCATGACTTAAAGGACAACGAAAGAAGTCACCTCAAAATTATGATTAATAGAATAAACCTTTCATCGAGTTTTGAAAGGAAATATTTATCAAAAAAAAAAAAAAAAGAGAAAAACTCATCAATACCATTAGTATATGACACGATCCTCCAGCCATAGACATGCACCTTGGTTTGGACAGTGTTCAAATTCCGACAGTTAGTCTCTATGGTATTCTGAGGCTCACTCCATGCACAGAAGCCGGGAATACCATAGAGACTAACTGTCAGAATTCAAACATTGCCCAAACCAAGGTGCATGTCAATGGCTGAAGGATCGTGACATATATTAAAAATAGTTATGGCAGGGTGTGGAACTGCACTGTGTCCCTTTAAGTAGTATGTAGGTGGGTGCAACTCGGACAGTCACAGTACCAGAGACCAAATGCTGAGTAACAAAACAGAAGAAAGGTCCAGGCCCTCCAAGGTACAAACCAGGCAATTTTATTGAACCCACTCCATCACAACGTTTTGACCTTAGCTTGACAAAGACCGTGTAGGTCGAAATGTTGCGATGGAGTGTGTTCAATAAAATTGCCTGGTTTGTACCTTGGAGTGCCTGGACCTTTCTTCTATTTTGTTACTCATATAGTAAAAATTGGGCTGAATTGTTCTCATATTTTATTTAATTTTTTTTTAAATATAAATTTTTTTAATTAGAGCTAATCTCTTTTTTTAAAGCTTAATGAAAGGAATCTTATATTAAACAATTGAAATTGAGATTGACCCGTTGTCCTTTAAGTGTGAAATTCCCTTTGAATTCTATTGTACAGCGCTACGGAATCTGACGGCGCTATATAAATAATAAAATAATAATAATAATAATTCTCAGTACAGTGACTGTGGTAGATATCCCTCCTGCTCCCATTCATGCTCTGGGTCCCTCTGACCACACTGCAGGGCACACAGAGCATGACTGTTCTTTAAGGGGCGTGTCCTCAGCAGTATTAAGGGGCGGGGCAATCTCCACAGGCGTGTTTACGGTCGAATCCTCCGCCCCCAGGAGCTACACAATCCCCCCAGCATACAGCAGTGGGCGTGGCCCGTGCCTGACCACGCCTCCTGTCTCACAGACTCGGCCTAGCTGGTGGGCGGAGTAACGCCTGTCTGTCACAGCTCGCTGCCCCGCCCCCTCCAGTAGTGCTGCCCGCTGTGTATCCAGCCCGCTGTGTGTATAACGGAGCTCGCCGAGCGCCATGTACCGGAGCCGGGGCACACAGCGAGCCGCCACCGCCGCGCTGACACCCACCTCGTGTGGCTAGGCTCCGCTGCCGGGATGTCGGGCTCCGCGCTGCAGCGCCTCGCTTCCCATGGGCGGCAGGCGCTGAGCCGCTGGCTGCGGGGCCGGGAGCCGGCGGAGGGCGAGGCGGAGCCGGGGGGCCGGTGCCCCGGGGGATGCTGGTGCCGGAGCGCGGTGCTGGTGTGCGCGCTGAGCGCGGGGTGCTGCGCCTGGCTGGCCCTGGCCAGGCACTACCTGCAGGACGTGCTGCTGTGGGTGGAGAGCCTGGACAGCCTGCTCGGGGTGCTGCTCTTCATCGTGGGCTTCATCCTGGTCTCCCTGCCCTGCGTGTGGGGCTACATCGTGCTCAACGTGGCCGCCGGGTACCTGTACGGCCTGGCGCTGGGCATCGGGCTGGTCATGGTCGGCGTGCTCATCGGCACCTTCATCGCCCACCTGCTGTGCAAGAGACTGCTCACCCACTGGGTGCTGGCCAAGGTGGGGGGCAGCCAGAGACTGGGGGCTGTCATCCGGGTGGTGGAGGGGGGCAGCGGGCTCAAAGTGGTGGCTCTGGCCAGGCTCACCCCCATCCCCTTCGGCCTCCAGAATGCGGTGTTCTCGGTAAGTGTCTCTTAGCCAGAGTCCTCCTTAAACAATGCTGTATCCTGGGTTAGCATTTGTGGCACACCTGTGGGGTGTACAGGGTTAACTCGCACATCAGTAATGCCCTCTGGGCACATCCAGGGTTTAACCGGACTTGCACAGACCTTAAAGGGTTAATGTGCACATCCAGGGTTTAACCGGACTTGCACAGACCTTAAAGGGTTAATGTGCACATCCAGGGTTTAACCGGACTTGCACAGACCTTAAAGGGTTAATGTGCACATCCACGGTTTAACCGGACTTGCACAGACCTTAAAGGGTTAATGTGCACATCCAGGGTTTAACCGGACTTGCACAGACCTTAAAGGGTTAATGTGCACATCCAGGGTTTAACCGGACTTGCACAGACCTTAAAGGGTTAATGTGCACATCCAGGGTTTAACCGGACTTGCACAGACCTTAAAGGGTTAATGTGCACATCCAGGGTTTAACCGGACTTGCACAGACCTTAAAGGGTCAATGTGCACATCCAGGGTTTAACAAAACTTGCACAGACCTTAAGGGGTTAACGTGCACATCCTCCTACACATCCGGGGCTTAATCACACTTGCACAGAGCTTAAAGGGTTAATATGCACATCCTCCTACACATCCAGGGTTTGACCACACTTGCACAGACCTTAAAGGGTTAATCTACATATCCTCCTAAGTTTTAGTACTTTTAGGGTTAAACCAGTCTTGAAGTAATGCGTTCTCTGGCACGTGGAGGATTAAATCATAAACTCATATATATATATATATTTTTTTTTATTTTGGTAGATATCAGCCTTCTGCCACATCAGCATGATTTTTTTTGAAACTAAAGTAGTGCAGCCACATAGATTAGGTTTCAAGGCAGCCCCCACCATAGAAGGGATTTTGTGTTTCCACCTAAACTCAATGCAATGTAACTCTTTTTATTTTGTGTAATTGTGTGCAAGGCAGTGGTGAAACCAGTGTGCGATGAACACACAAAGGTTACTGTGTATATACAATATGTCTGTTCTAAAAAGTGTTGCAAAGATGTAGAAAGGTCAGTCACCAACGGAATGTGCCGGCTGGTTTCCATGGTGATTGTACCACTTTTTTTTTTTTTTTTTTTTACTATATAAATATAACCCTAAATGACTTAAGACTTGTTGTAGGTTGAATGGAGTTCTGAAAACACGTCTGCATGGGATTTTCCTCCAGCAATTAAAGCTGATACGTCAATTTGGCACAATGTATGTTTCTCTCTCTCTCTCTCTCTCTCTCTACTTCAAATGAATGAGACCTTTATTGATCTGATGAAGGTTAAAACAAAAAAGTTTGATAAAAGGGTTGTATAATGCTGCCTATCTATTGGTAAAAAAAGAAATGCCTTTTCACTCTTTAAGATTGCACAAAAAATTAGAGTATTTAGTTTGTAGGTAGTTACTTTATCTGTTAATGCCTAAAACATTTTTAATTCTTTATTTCTCTATTCCCTTTTATATGTATATATTAAGTTTCTTCCGTAAACCAAAATTGTTGTAGCAAATTGAAATCTGAATGGCAAAATAAATGTTGATTTGACAGCTATGTAAAAATACTCCAACTCTTCTTTAGTCTGTGCTTGGCTATTTTAACCTAATTTTATCATTCAGCTTTATCTACAGATCAGAGTTGAGTGAATTAACTATATGCTTCCATTGAGTTTGTCTTTTTTTTTCTTTTCTTTTTCTCGCTCTCGTCTGGAAATTGTGACTCTTAACTACACCTTGATCATTTTTAATTTGTTCGGGGATTTATGCAGAGTTAAAGCTCTTCTGATTTATAACCTCCATGTTTCTAATCTTGCATTGTTGGACCACAAATTTCACAATTATGAGGTGGGAAAAAAACCTGGAAGAGTAAGGTGTACACGCCGGTAAAACATGATCTAATCTAGTTCTACAATGACTGCATTATACGTTTCAATATATTGCTTCCTTATGGTTTATAGGTTTGTTTGTTTTTGTTTTTTTCACTCTTCCATTCCCAAGGGGAGGGTGTCTGAAGAAATCGCTTAGTGATAGGTGTGCCCAATCATGCAATCTGATGAAGTTTGTAGTATGTTTTTATAAACTTTTATGACATACCATATTTTTCTAGCTTTGTTTGGCTTCTATGTTTGTTTTAAGAGTGTTGGATTCCTAGTTTAAAAATCTCATTGTCAAGAGATGCATGTCCCTTTAAATCTATCTATGGCGGCTGCTAGAGGCAGTTCTGCTGGACTGACTGAGTAAAACTCAGTCACATGATATGGAAGCCCACGCAGAAAAGCATTGATACAATACTTTCCTAATGGAAAGCTTGGAAGGGCAGTATTAGGTCCCAAGTGCTCATCTATGAGAAGCATTGGATTGAACCATCATCCAGTCCAATGCTCCTCGTGGAGCTATGACTCCTCCATGATATCACAGGAGGCAGAGAGCTAAGGTGTGCTGAGACAGCCTTGGTTATAAAGTAGTAAGCTGGGCCGCACGATCTACCTTCAAAACCTAAGTACTTATTGTGGAAAAACACCACTTACCTTACCTGGCCTGCTTACACTTTTTTTTTTTTTTGCTGGTTATTGGGGTACTCTGCAAGATCCTAAGCTTGGAGCACTGAGAGCCTTGAGGATCAGTGTTTTGGACACCCATTAAGTGCACCATGGATTAATGTTTTTTTTTTTTTTTTTTTAAATTAATACATAGATAATTATGAAATCATTGCAAGTTGCACTGCCTCCTGTTTATTAGTTTATTTTAGAACATTTTTGCTGAAATAAAATGTACATCTTATCTCTGCAGACATAAAGTTCAATTAACTAGGATTACTAGGATACACGGACAGCCTAGCAACTTAAATGGTCCCTGGCACTGGCTTACTTTCAGGGGTTTAATGCCAGCGAACATTGTAACCCTAAAGTCTTCACTCCGGCATTGGTCTGCTGTGCCCTCAAACTTTTTTTTTTTTTTAGTCCAAGGCATCAATCAGGAAGCCTTGCAGGGGCACTACTGGCTGAGAGCATAAGTAGCTCCCTATTTTGAAAACTGAGTGAAAGTATTACACCACTTTTTTTTTTTTTTTTTTTTATCTCTGGTTTGTGAATGGGGAGCTATTACACTCTCTGCCTAACAGTTTAGGGCGAAAATGAAAGTGCGTCTGACTTGTTAATGTTCGAACCCCTAAAGATAAGCAGGCACCATGGGCCTCCTCTCACTATAACAACCTAATTCTGATTACATTGTTATGGTGTTTGGTGTTTCTTTAACGGAAATTGTGGTGAGAAGCCACCGAGTATGTGAGTCTGCCACATCTTCCCAGAACCCTCTGTTTGTGCCTTCTTTCTCCAGGCAGGTATGGACCCGTCTGCCTGTGCTATTTCGTCTCCCAGACAGGTATCGTCTCCTCTGCATGTGCAGTTTCTGTCTTTGCCTTTACAAAGGCACTTGCAGCTCCCAGGCCTAGCTGTTTCTTAATATGTACTTTGGATCAGGCAATAGTGCAGCCAGCAAGCGGGTCCAAAAACTCTCCTACTGGAATCTCCAAACAAACCAGACAGGAATTCTGGGTTTGCACTCAAGACCACCCCATATTCACATAAATTGCACTTATGGTGACACACTCAATCCAATACAAAATCATATGGGGAATCACACAGGCACTTCTAGAACACAATATAAAGGATGAAAAGACAAACGCTAACAAGAAATATATCTCCCCTGCCTGCATAAACCATAATACCTGAATGTGCAGGGTCAGGAATACAAATGTGGTGCTATGCAGACTTGCTAGATCTTTCACAACCAAGATGTGGTGCAGCTCTGGTTCCACATTTAATTCCATCTAGTTGGTACAGAGCACCAGCAGAACAGGATACATTTGACAAATGACATTACAATAAAATATACCTATAATGGGCACTGGTCAACTTAGACATAAGACATGCGGGGACCTACATACAGTGTCAGATATGATGGTCTGTCACACAAATCATTTAGGAAAAAAGGTAAATTTTGCATTAATATATATCCTACATAACTAACCCTGATTTCATGCTGAGTAACCTTTGGACTGTAATGTATCCTAAATAGAAAACTACATAATTGTGTTTTTTTTTTTTTTTTTTTTTTTTAAATCCACCAGTTTTAAAATTGTATTTTATAGCGCTTATCCTCTTAAAAAGTAACCTGATAGTATACATAACCCTTTTTTCTTAAGGGGCGCAGCTCCAAAACCCCTACAGCTTAATGTAGTAGTCTTGGTGACTGTGTACGGTCATTGTGCTGGGACTAATGTCAATATTGCTGTTTCTGAGCAACGACAATGATTAACATTTATCAGTCCGTGTGCCTAAAGAGGGGAGGCGGAGGGGCATCACATAAAATCACTTCTACTTAAAGGGTTACTCCATGCATCACCGCTATTTCAGTGGTTTGAAGTGGTCATGGTGCCTGGAGCGCTTCACGATGAAGCGTTGCACATGCAGAGTTTAACTGCTTGACTGTTGGAAGTTTAACTCCACCTCCTGCAGAATCACGTAGCTAATGTCAATTCTGTGCCAATTTATATTTTGCACAGTGTGCAAATCATTGGCTGAGATTGGATTGACCGTTCTGCAGAAGCACGTCATCACAGCAGCAGGGGGCCAGGAAAAGCCCGGCAGGAAACTGGCGCCACGATTCTCCTGGCATCATAACCATTACAATTAAATGTTCTCTCAATACCAGAAAAATCTCAATATTAATTTATTTCCTTAACCACTGTCTCTTACTGAGAGCATCAATCATGTTTTCAGTGTGTAATACACATGCTATAAGACAAAGCGCTCCTGCATAGGCTTGCTTCCTATAGCAGGTAAAAAGTCCCTAACATTTTGTTGACTTTGTGTAAGTAAAACTTTTGTGTTCTCTCAAAAAATGGCTAATATGTGGGGGTCTCCAGTATGGTATTTGAGATATTAAACAGAAACACAACTAAATATCTGCAAAGATGGTAAATAGCAACGGACTAATCAGTAGATGGCACCCTATAAACGGTTGAAGGCATAATTGGGCGAGTGGGCAAAAGGGCAAAAATCCCCTATAGAAGAGAACACAGTAAAATATTAATAGATGATTACTGTTATGGTCTAAGTGGAAAGGTAACGAGGCCCAAGGGAACAAAATAACAAAACCTCAAACAAATGTATTCAAGTCCTGTCATAAGAGTGGGGTATGTCTACTAAACAATTATCCATAAGATTAAATCGAAACCATAGTTACAGTGTATATACTCTATGAATATATTGATAGGTACTAAGAGACATTCACCTAAACTCTGCCTTCGAGGACACCCCTCTCTAAAACTCACCCAGTCTAAACACGATTGGGTAAATATATGTTAAATAATTAAATATATCAGCCAATAATGGTGTATTATAAACAACAAGACTTCATAGTTATAGCAAATGTCCACAGACTAAAATCTTCCCTAGAAGTCTGAGTGGCAAACAGCAATAGATGTCCCGACATGTGTTTTGCCAATACCGGGCTTTTCTAGGGGAACAGAATCACTGTGCTCAAGAGTTTAAATAGGACACCTTCAGATTAAATTTGTACAATGGCCAATCCTAGATCGTCATGTGTGGGGGGGTCTCAAGGACTATACCAGAGATTCATATATTTTAGCCTTTTTTTTTTTTTTTTTAGGTTTTGTGTTCCTTATTGGACATTTTTACTAGTTCTATTAAAGGTAAAGTTTTATACACAGGAAAGATTATTTTCTCACTTAATCCGTATGCTTTGTGTACAATAAAATCTAAAAGCAGGCGCCTTCCTAACTGCTGTCCGTGACAAGAAAAAAAGGCTTCCTGACCAGGCGTGGGTGTACTATTTATACTAATTTCACTACTCGGTTTCCTGTCCATTCTGCTGTAAGGGGAAGAGCTAACCCCATAAGTCAATGCTGCCATAGCTTGATCAGGAATTTGATTCTCAGTCATTTAAGATTGTTATATTTGTCATGACAGTTAATCTTTACGACTTTAAAAAATGTATTTGCATATGGTGCCCTAATGCTGCCTTACACATTTATTGCTGGGCTTGGCACAAGATTGATAACAGAGGTTCATGCTTGGGAACAGACGTGGTGGAGGCAGGAACTGGGGCTTGGCAGTCCCCAGGTGAGAAGTCAAATCGCACTGGAGGGCTTGGCTTAGTGCAGTCAGGAGCTTCAAGCTGTAGAGTAGCCGGTGTCCGATTCCCAGCAACTCCAAGTAAGTTGTCAAACAATTCTTAAACGACTTCTTACTCTTGAAGCACACTGCTGACACTATGACCACGTCAGTGGGCACTGGTGGGTATGGTGCTTGGAATGTTACTTTGTCTTTATATAGAGAAGTATCATTATGCTTCTACATAAGTAGAATCCTATTGCCATGTATGTGCAGTAGGACTCTCAATGCTTCTCTGTGGAAAAGCATTTGATTTGGATCAAGATCCATCCAGGTGATCCTGAAGAAGGCAGAGCGGTGGCCGTGCTGAGACTGGATCTCCGGTGGAGAAGTGGTCCGTTTTTAGTTTATTTTGCTTTCTAAAGAGTAGATGTAATCAGACTGCCACCAGGATCTCGAACTTCATAAATACGTATATGTATTTGTAACCTTGGTTTTCCTTCAATAAATCCTACAGATGTGAAATCCCAAAAACTAGCTCTTGTAGATGTTTATTTGAAAGAGTGGAGAATTGTTTTCATGATGTATTTGTCATGTATCCAGGATACCACACCATGCCAGTTATCAAGTTATGGTAGTATGTGTGTCACCTGTGTTTTGTGTGTTTTTTAGTCATTATTTATTTTCTCTCCTATATTAAGCATATTGGTATGGGAAGGAGGAAATCTCCAAACACATTAACCACATCAGCTTTCTGAAGTACATTAAAGTGACGATTTCAGTAGAAATGTGCACTTTATAAAACTTTGCCGATACAAACTCTGCATCTCTTATAGACAGCCATCCTGTTCTGTTAGTTCCCTGCTGGGTTAGCGCACTCCTGCCTTTAGTACTTCTCAATGAGCTGTTGTGCCACTCATCGAGAAGTAAAATTCATTTTTTTTTTTTTTTTTTTTTTTGGTCAATCCACTGGCATGACTTCATAGTGGGTTATTTTTTTTTTTTTGTTTAATTTGTTTCTGCCTGTCAATTCCTTTAAACTTTTGGGTTTGTGAAGTCATTACAGTAAGCATTGTGTGCTGTGGGTTTTGTTGCGTGCTTTCTGTTTAATATCAAAGTCAGATTTTTGTCTCTTCTCATGTTGAGAAGATGAAAGGAAATAAGTTCTCGGAGGACTAAATGCTGGTTCTCGATCTCTTTTTACAAATGCGTAAAGTAAGGTAAACCAGCTATATAGGCATTTCTAAAGCTGCTTCATTGTGCGATTTGTTGACATAGTGACAAATGGCTATCCATTTTAATGTGATCTGACCTGTATGCTTGCTATAAAACGTGACTGGCAGACCTTTGACATTGTAAAAGTGGATGAACAAAGATCATGTTCATTATATTGTCTGTTCCACCTGGTGTGTGCGGAAAGACTTGTGCAAAAATAGAACGGTTTGCGGCTCTGAGATTTTCGTAAGCTGCATTTTTTTTTTTTTTTGTATATTATTATTTTTTTTTTAAATTGTAATAGCTTTCATTTACGTTATTTAAGTAGACCGGGACTGAACAGTGTTACACTCTAGGCACCAAACCCCAAAGTAGACAGTACTGTATATAGAGTTTCTGGGCATCAGCGTTTTAAATGTAATTTTATTTATTTATTTTTTTACCACGAATATTGTGATTTATTTATTTATTTTTTTTAATTTTTTTTTTTATATAAGCGAAAAGACTAAACAGACATACAAAATAAATTGGTGTGCTGCTGAAGTGAATATGACCCAGAAAGCCCACCTGTGCCAAGTAAGCCACTTAATAAATTAAATGAAGCCTGCATAACTGGAGCTGAATAATGTGACCAAATATAGTGTATGTAAGTATAGCATAGAAATTGAGTAACGTTGGCAGCCAACACCCAGACATGTGCATAGTCTGGAACTAATTGCCCTAATTTATTATTTCCCTTCCTTGCCAAGAACTTTTTTTTTTTTTTTAGTGCATACACTGCTGGAAAGTAAACCAGATATGATAATCCAGTAATGATATTTTCTGTAAAAACAAAACAAAATTCCTCAATTAAATTCTGCTGATGGCAACTTGATTTAAGGGACGCAGCAATTTGTCGCACATGTATATCTTGTCCACAATGCTTGCAGTTAGCTCCAATAAGCTAGATCTGGCGTGCAAGGCTGCACTCATGGCTGAGGGCATCAGCTGAGTGCTCTGTCAGTGAGTGCGGCTCTGCATAGCCAGGCTTGGCTCGGTGGCAGGAGCTTTTGGCAGCAGGGGAGGAGGCAATGGCGGACGCAAGCTGGTACCCACATAAGTTTGCAACGGTTTGACTACTAGCTCTGGTACTTGTACATACTTTTAGCATGAGGTGATATTTCTTAATTTTGAAAAACTTGTTCCCTCAATTGTTATAAAGATTATAGGAGTCGGAATTCATAAAAGCAGATGTGTTCAGTGCTGCTTCTATCTCCACATTATAGTTAAAGGACAACTATAGTGCCAGGAAAACAAACTCGTTTTCCTGGCACTATAGTGCCCTGAGGGTGCCTCCAGGGTCCCACTCCTGCCAGGCTGAAGGGGTTGGAAGGGGGGTTAAACACTTACCTTTCTCCAGCGCCGGGAACTCTCCTCCTCCTTCGGTCGTCATCGGCTGAATGCGCATGCGTGGCAAGAGCCGCGCACGCATTCAGCCAGTCCATAGGAAAGCATTCTCAATGCTTTTCTATAGACGCTGGCGTCTTCTCACTGTGAAAATCACAGTGAGAAGCGCCTCTAGCGGCTGTCAGTGAGACAGCCACTAGAGGCTGGATTAACTCTAAAGTAAACATAGCGGTTTCTATGAAACTGCTATGTTTACAGCAGGCAGGGTTAATCCTAGATGGACCTGGCACCCAGACCACTTCATTAAGCTGAAGTGGTCTGGGTGCCTATAGTGGTCCTTTAACTCCTAATTAAACATTGCAGGAGTTAAATGTAATCCTACACGTCTGCCATGTGCAGAGCCATATTTAAAATGAATGTGTATATACACAATGCCTGCCAATACACTGGGTGAATGAAATAATGACACATACTTGTTGACACAGAGTATTACTGAAACTATGCCATGGTTCCATATATCACTCTCTATATTATATTACAGAGAGCCAAGGAACTTTAGAAATAACAAATATTGTATACTGTGGTTATTGCACCATCCCTTCCCTTGGTTGTTTTTACACTATATTTGATGGCTTAGTAACTCAGACACAGATGTGCGCTTTGACTTTATATTGCAGGGTGTGTACAAAATGGACTGCTATGCCCTATTATACAATGTAGCTGAAGGAGGACCACTTATACTTGTTAAAAGACTGCTGTGTTCGCAGACTGCTATTTATTAGATCACAAGCTATATCACATAGCTACAGTAGTTTGCATGGCTGCATTGTCTCTGTGTAAAATTGATGGTAATGCTTTGGGAATTTTTTTTCCAGGGAATTGCCATCAATTTCACACAGAGACAATGCAGCCATGTGATATAGCTTGTGATCTCATAAATAATAAAAGCAGGGGGAGTCAATTATATCCCCATAAGGTAAGTGTCCCTATGCCCCCACCTACCATGCCAGTTGCTGAAATTTTTACTGAAGACGATGCGCACACACAAGAATGCTTGCTACTTATTTAAATGGACGCTGCTTGTACCACAGCAAAACTGTAATGGCTCTATGAGAATGTAAGCCAATCATGGTTGCATAACACATGCTGAGTAATGTGTGGATTAGAAAAGAAAAATAAGAATAGTGAGAATTTAAGAGAACATTCACTACAGCCTAACAAACAAAAAGTGAAATTTTATGGGGAGAAATTAGAAAGAAAAGAGGGGGGGGGGGGAATATATATATTTTGCACCCCCTTCCCCTGACATTTATTTATTTTTTTCCCACTGTGGCGACTGGCGTCCAAGTGCTATCCAGCTGCCCTATTATTAACCATGGTGCCTCCGAGGGTTTTTTTTCTTGTCATTTGTCCGCTGCTAATGCTGCCCAGAGGACAAATGGTTCTTTAAATTATCAATTGACTTGCAAAAAAAGCAAGTAAATTTATACTTTGCGAATGTGTTTTCCCCTCTTTTCATTCGGTTCTGATTTTTGTTAAAATCAGTGTTTTGTGAATCGTCTGAATCCTGTACTTATCCTATAGGATTCAGATGTGAAAGCACAGATATTAATCCAGACACTGAATTTGAATGCGTCCTGCCGATAGCTTCAAAATCAGTCGGATCAAACTAATTCTGACTGGAATTAGCTTTAGTAAATGTGCAAATTGTCAATGCAGTCAGAATTTCATAGTATTTAAAAAAAAAAAAAAAAAAAAATGAAAACAAAAACATCAAATGATTAGTAAATACCAAACTCTGGGCAACTTTCAAGGTCTACTGAGAAAAAAACCCAAGACCTAGACAAAGTGTATGATCTTTAACCCCGTAAAGATCAAATGCTTCTCGACCAATAGAACTATGCCAAAATGGAAAGATACAGCCTTACATTAGTAATTGAGTGGGTTATACCCTTTTGCAATTTGTTCCATAAAGTACAGATTACTATGGTAACAGACAGTGGGGACCTTACTTGCCAGAAAAAAAACAAAACACTTTTTACTGTTTTCCATCTCTTTTTTTTTTTTATGTGCTTTTAGAATCTCTCCCTTTCGTAACTAGTAGCTCTAGCTGTCAACAGGTGCTGTTATATTGATTTGCACACTATCATTCTTGTCTAACAAATTAAACACAGCCAAGGTCTTTTGGAACAGCCATTTGCTTGTTCTAGTTCCCTCACAGTATCCAGTGACTGACAATCTGGTATTGCCAGGACGTTAGAGGAACAGAAGTTGTTCTACCGGGCATGGTATTTGAGATAAAAATAGAGTACCGAAAAAAATTATCTATATTTTGTGCTAAAAGAGCTTTGCTTGCAAATGTATTGATTTTCAGATACAGTTGCTATAAATGGCTTATGTCTGCATTGATTACAAATAAAATATGGTCTTATCTTTGCCTTAGTCACAATTATAGATGACTAACTAGTAACAGTTGTACAATTAAGATTTGTATTGAATACATTGAGTGATTAGTTACTGTACAGACTGGAAAAGTAAGTAAACGCTTGCATTTAGTAACTTGCAGATCCTCATTTATCAGACTTGCACATACGAGGATGCATTTTATCTCGAGTGCACAAACTCCTTCAGCTCACGACACAGCCTCTCCATTGGCTTAGGACTCTGGCTTGGCCATTCCAAACCATGAATTTTCTAACTTTGAAAACTTTCTTTAGTTGATTTACTTGTGTATATTGTCTTGTTGCATCACCCAACTTCTATTCTACTTGAGATCATGACCTACTGTCCTGACATTCTCCTGTAAAATAAATTGATACACTGTTCAGGTCCTCCGCAGCAAAGCAGCATGAACCATGATACTCTTTCCACCATGCCTAACCGTTGGGATGAGGTTTTGGTGTTGGTGTGTAGAGCCCCTTTTTCACTGAACATGCAGAATAAGCCTCATCTGTCCACAGCACATTTTCCCACGTTTTGGGCAAACTTGAGGAGTGCCACAATGTGCTGTGAGTTTTTTGACAGTAGGGATTTCTTTAGTTGAGTCCTGAACAAAAACTTTCTCAATTTGTAGAATTTTCTGAAGGTATTTTGCTGAGTACCTTAGTGTTTTTTTTGATTTGTTTGTGGTTTTTTTTTTTATTCTCACATCTTTCAGGATTGTATATAGTGCTTTTGCTGCTTCCCTCAGGAGTCCTGCAAAGATCACTGCGACAGTCCTACATTTTCTCCACCTATAGACTATCGCTTTTAAAACATTTCCCCCAGCTTTGTGCCTCTCTATAATGCATTTTCTAAGGCCCTGTTAAAGTTAGTAGATCGAAGCATGGTTCATGTGTCAGTAACCAGTCTTTGTGTGCTTTTACTTAAAGAGCAGGGCAACTGTGTAACCCACATTTCCAATCTCCTCTCCTTATCTGAACAGACATTTCATCTGATTTTAAAGGCTTACGTCATCCCTTTTTAAAAATTTTTAATTGACAATGCCCTGTTAGGAAGCTTAGAACTTCCAATTGCTAATGCCCAAGTCACGTGTGCCAGTTGGTGTAGATATCCCCTGGGTCAAAAGTGCCCATATCTGTGGATGTGCAGCATTTCAAGCAGAAATGATGCACATACAGATTCATAGCACCATGACCACTTCTAAAAGCAGATATGGTCGTGGTGGTTTGAATAACCTTTTAACTAAAGTTCTTGCTTAGAATGTTAGTTAAAAGGACCCTCTAAACACCCATGTGCTTTATAATGCATTTGATAGATTTTTGACTTAATATGCTGTATTTTTTGCATGCTCAAATCTTAATAGTTTTTGCGCACCAAAAATAAATAAATAGCTCTATAAGCCATACCCTCTTGTGCTAGAAATTCTTCCTTATCAAATGTATTTATGAATAGAAAACAAAACTGTGTGGTGTGGACAAAAAGAGTATCAAGGTGATATATATCTTTTAGTGTGAAAACACCAATAAAATGTTAGTGAGGAATATAAAAAAATAAAATAAAAATGCTTACTCCTATTTGTGGTGGTCACATACCAATATTAGCCATAAAAACCCTCTGTAGATGATGATGATGATGATGATGATGATCTTGCAAATCTTCATTGTCTTTAATCACTAAGTGCACAAAAATAAACATAGACCTAGTGTAAAACCTTTAACACAAAAATAAGTGACATACACTTACCTGCGATATAATTCTAGGAATTTGAAATGGTGGCTGCAGAAACCCTGTGTAATAAGGCAGCAATATAAGGAACCAGTTGTATATGTATTAATAAAGTGAGTACTTGGTAGGTGGTATCCTTCTAGTCCAGCGGTATCCTATCTTCTCAATTGATTTCCCAGGTTTTCTGAATCGTCCAGCGGTTCTGTGACGTCATTCTTGGTGCACCATTTCCGCCGAGAACTTAATGAATTTGCGTTCCATCTCCAGTCCGCATTTGGCCATAGTGTTCTTGCCAGAAAATGAAACTAGGGTAAAAAGTAAAAACAAATAGAGCCCAGAAGGCTCAAACAGATATAAGAACTCAAAGTTCCAAACATATATCTTGTCCCTTTACATCAAATCTTATAAAGGCATGGATACCACAAAGCACATATCAGATCTGCAATATAACCAAAAATGTTATAATATCAAATTAAAATCTATGGATTAAGTTTTCTTATATTGGTACTTATATAATTAGAGATTTTTAAAAATGTATAAAGTGCTTATGAATTGAAGCTAATTATATACTTGATTAATCAAGTGCTTTGTGCTAATATCAAATACGGTATATGAAAATCCTCCTGAGAACACAATCTAAATTACATTAGAGTGATCTATGATTACCAAAAGCGAATACCCTGTTATTAGCCATAAAAGCAAATTGTTAAATCACTTTTTTTTGTGTATTTTTTTTTTTTTTGTATATATTTTATGGATAATCCATACCTATAAATAATGTAATGTGCAATGAATTACATAGATACAAAGTGTAAAATTCACATATAGTGTTCATAGATTACTTGTACATTTATTACAAAAACCACATTATGTCCACCTCAGTACAGTTTAATGTAGTGATAATGATTGGCTGAGATCATCAGTAATGATGATCTTACCCAGGGGAGAAGAGACGGCCGCAGCATTAGTGATGCACTGGGATCCTAAAGGTAAGAAAAATTACTTTAAGTTAGTCTAAATCGCCTCTACACCACTTTTGGCGTTAGAAACAGTTTTTTTTTTTTTTGTTGTTGTTTTTTTTTACATCTGTGTGTTCCTTTAGAGCAGGTGACCTTTTGTTGTTTTACTTCGGTACCTGGTTTACCTAAAGCTGGTATTGTTGAAACATGTCCTCTTCCAGCAGGTGCCGGCTGAGTACCTATCTGATTTGAACCTGAAGAAGACCTTTTTGGCATCACTAATCGTGTTAATCTATTTTCAGTATGTCTTTTTGCTGCAGCAGTAAACTTGGCATTTATTTAATACTTGATGATTGATATAAGGAAGTACATTTCATGACACAACATTAAAATGCTTGTTCACATTCCAAATGGGCATATATTTTAATCCTAGTTTCCTGTGTACCTTTTTTATATCCCTACCATTTAAGCACATTTGATATGCTTTACGAATCATTCGGATATGAAAATCATACTTAAAGAAAATCTCCACGGGGTATTGGGATAAAAAATAAAATTCTAATCTACTTTTTCTAAATCTCTAAAGTAATAGCCTAATTTACTTGCCCTCATGCAAAAAAATTTAAAATTAGAACGTTCGGGTACTCTGCTTAGACATGGACATCAGCAGGTTTATTCTCTAAGCTCTGAATTTTCCCTCATTAAATTCAAATGGGAAAAAATAGGGTAAAAAGTTGATTTGAAAAAAAAATCCAACTTCTCTATATAGTCAGAACTGTCTATTTTTGTCTTTGTTTTGCCATTTGGATTTAATTTGTAATTCAGTATCTAGCCCTCTGTCCTCCCCTGTAGTGTGTAATGAGTGTTGGACGTTTCGGCTGCATACAGTGTGTATCTGTGCTGGATCTGTTGCCACCCCTTCCTCCACACTATGTGTAATTGGATAGAGGGAATAACATATTGGGTATGGTGGCTCTTGGATCCCTGGTAGTCCAGTGGTGGCTCGCTCCCTGGTGTTCTAGCGAGGGTTGTACATTCCTGGTGGTGCAGTGTGGAAACCTGAGGTTTGCACCTCCAACCCTTAGAGTGCATGCTGGGAATCGCATCATCTGCACTCTGACTCACTATATAGCGCCAAAACCATGAGGGAACCATTTACAGTGTCTGCACCCACCGGAGCTGGAAACCTGACCCAGAGTTTTTCTTCCCAGGCAATCCAGCCACTTGATAGGGCTTAAGGTTACAAAAAAAACGAAAAATTAAAAAATAAAAACATCTTCATGCCTGGTTCCCAGAACTACATGTCCCGGGCATCTGGCAATAAAAATTCCACTTGCCTCCAACAATTTAAATGGTTTTTAGAGGTCTTCTATTTGCTTATTTGAGCCTCCTTCTTAAAGGAAAATAAAGATGGTCCGGCACTGCTCTGGTGTCTTTGCAGGAGACTCTTCTTCTGAGATCATTCTCACAGGCCCTATTTTGAATGCAAGATCTTTTCCTTTATCTTGCTTGTAGAGAAACCTTGAATCTAGGTTTCTCTAACTGTTCGGCAGTAGTGAATGTGAAGGCTTTCAATTATTTAATCTCTAGTGGCTACCTGACAGATGAGTTAACTGAGCTAAGCAAGTCCAGTACAGGATCATGCTCTGCTGACACTTTCAGCCAATGAACTCAGCTGTGCTAAGTTGAGTGGAGCCAACTTGCTTCTCTGGCAAGGAGAATCTGGAAGCAGGGCTTCAACCAGAGATATTCAGCAGGTCCCAGGTTAGTTTCAAACAGTTTTAAAATGATTTTAATACTTGCAATAGGCATGCTGTAGTGGTTATGCTGCGTGGAGTGTTTCTTTAACGTCAAACCTGTATTCCTGACCCTATAATGTTAAAACCACCATTTAGGTGGCTAGCTCCCCTTAGAAGGGGTTAAAAATCACCTCTATGAGGAAAATTCAGCGTCCCCATACAGAGCGTGGAGATGCTGAATGGCCGTGCTGCCTACTGTGCAGCAGTGGCCACTAGAGGTGTCCATAGGTAGCAATGTAAACATTGCCTTTTCTCTAAAAAGGCAGTGTTTGCATTAAAATGCCTGAAGGTAATAATTATACTCACCAGAAAAACTACATTAAGCTGTAGTTTTTTTGGTTACTATAGTGTCCCTTTAACTGCTGCTCACTGTTTAGTAATTTGCTAGGAAGTTAGAAGTGTCAAACTTTCAAATCGATATATTGAAGCCTAATCTAATCACAACCAGTCGAATGCTTTTTTCTTTTTTATGGTTATATCCCTAGTGGATTTCCCTCTTCCACTTTGTGCCATGCTCACTGTTTGGGTGGGTAGAGTGGGGCACCAGCCTTGTGCCCCGCACTTTTTAGGGCCCCGTGGATATAACCCATACTACGGAAAGACTATCGTACTGATATCTCTGGGTGCCGGGTGAGTGCTGACTTGGCTGCCCAGCACCTAGTCCCAGAAGCTTCAACATTGTGTATACTGTAGACCGTTAATGTTAAAGGACCACTATAGTGCCAGGAAAACATACTCATTTTCCTGGCACTATAGTCTCCTCCTTCTCTCCGCCTCCGATCCTCCTCTTCGGCTGAATGCGCATGCGCGGCAGGAGCTGCGCGCGCATTCAGCCGGTCTCATAGGAAAGCATTTAAAATGCTTTCCTATGGACGCTTGGGCGTTCTCACTGTGATTTTCACAGTGAGAAGCACGCAAGCGCCTCTAGCGGCTGTGAATGAGACCGCCGCTAGAGGATTTGGAGGTTGGATTAACCCATTTATAAACATAGCAGTTTCTCTGAAACTGCTATGTTAAAAAAAAAAAAAGGGGGGGGGCTTAATTCTAGAGGGACCTGGCACCCAGACTACTTCATTAAGCTGAAGTGGTCTGGGTGCCTAGAGTGGTCCTTTAATAACTCTACTTGCTGTATTGAAACATTTGAGAGAAACAGCAGATGTTGGCATGTAATAGTACCAGCTCCCAGTTTAATATGGGGTGAATGCAAGACTGTGCTGACCTGTTCTCTGCCATACCAGCAAACAGAGGTCCTACCCCTTTTTTCTTTTTTGAGTAAGGTTAGCAGATGGGCTAAATATAAATAATAAAAAATAACTGCTTGGATGTTTGTGTGGATGTTTTGTCTCCGGATGCATACGTGTGTGTGTGTCTGTCTATGAATATGTTGATGCATGTGAGTGTGTTGCTAATTAGGTGTGTCATAAAAATGTGTGTGTGTGGCTAGTGATGTAAGTTTGGCGAATAATTTCTGTATGTTTGTGTAGATGAGGGAGTGGGGTGCAAGAGCCTCAAAAATGATAATGGTGTCCCTGAGCACAATTTTGATTCATTTGTTAAAGACACACTGTAGTCACCAGGACCACTACAGCTATTGTAGTGGTTCTGGTGTCTATAGTCTATCCCTGCAAGCTTTTCAGAGAATACATTGCTGCCTAGTAACACCTCTAGTGGCAGTCACTCAGATGGCCTCTAGAGGTGCTTCCTATCTCAGTGCTACATAGTGTGCAGCACACGCATTCAGAACGTTCCTGATCGAAGATGCATTGATTCAATACATTTCTATAAGGAGATGCTGATTGGTGCAGCATTGTTTTGCCGTGCATGCGCAATGGCCTCCACATGCTTTCATATGGGAAAGCATTGGATTGGCTGAGATAAAGCTTGATGATCTCAGCCATGGAGGCTGAGCCGGATGCGGTGAGACCAGTTTTGCATGGGAAAAATCACCTTTTCAGAGCGATCGGCTTGGGACTAGTCACCTAAAATGCCACATCGGGACTACTATGTCAGGAATACATGTTTGTACTCCTGCCACTGTATTGTTCCTTTTAAGTTTTAAAATTTAACAAATGTATGTTGTTCTTATCAACTTAAGTATACTAACTAGTGACAGGACTTGAGCCCCAAATTAAAATGATTATTTAAAGGAGTGGTATTGTATTGAAATTTAAGTGTGTACAAGTTAGTCTGGATATTATGAATTTTTCGGTTGAGAGAAGCCCTACAATTTAAGGAAAAAAGTAATGAGACAAACACAAGTACAGACCACAGAAAAATAACATGTTTTTGAAATAAACACTGTTCGGTAACTAGCTGCTCAGTGTTTGGGCCAAGCAGAATCAAACTAGAAGTAACATTGTCAGTAAACAGAAAACATACATCGTAATAAATGGCTGCACGTTTAACTTTTTTTTTTTTTTATTGTTTCACGCAGATGTCTTTGGGAGTTACTGACGTTAAATAGACATAGGTACCAATACAATTTCAGCTTAATAAAGCAGTTTTGGTGAACAGATCATGCCCTGACAGTCTCACTGCACAATTCTCTGTTAAAGCACTTTGTTTATGCAGCCTTTATCAAACCTGTGTCATACAGAGTGCTCTTAATTAATTTGTTATGGTGCCAGGAGGCTCCCAGGTGCATGCTTACTTTAAGGCAGGGTTTCCAAATTAATTTTTCCAGTGGAACCTTTTGACATAGTAGACCAACATCGTGGAACCCCCCAAAAAAATTTGCGCCGTAGCCCAATCCTTTTAATGAGTGGCTTTCTCATTATCATTTTTAAATATTTTCCTCAAACTGTTTAGTCTCCTGATACTCCTGAACCTTGTTTTTTTTTTTTTTTTTGGTTTTTTTTAAACGAAATGTCTTTATCTTTGTGCTCTGGGTGGTTTTGCTCAAAATGACGGTCACTTAGCAGGTGCTTACTTTTCTCAACGGAAAAAAACAGATCTCACTACCTGACTGCAATGGATGCTGTTTCTTATAAAGCTCTTAAAAAGAACATAATATAAGCAGGATTTACAGTCTTACAGATTTAGGAGTCAGTCTTGGAGCAAAAAGAACAGTGTACTACAGATTTTACTATCTCACTGCAAAGGATACTGATAAACAGTAGTTATGGTGCTTCGACTGTCACAAACAAAACTATCTGTTTTTAACAGTTGAACAAACGACTTTAAAGGACCACTATAGGAGTTAAATAAAGTTTTTAGTGAAGCAAAAAATTCAAAATCTGACCTACTAAATAAGTGATATCATAAAGATAGACAGTAATGTAATATTAGGTCCGCGAGTGAAACATTTTTAGAAAAAGTATTGAGTTCCTTTATTTATATAAATTTTATGTAATTTCACTGATCATAACAATTATGAGGCATTCCTTAAATGGATAGTGAAAAAGAAAAGACCTTTTAATAGATTTAATTGCCAGTTAGTAGTGCAGTTGAAATCTAAGTGGTTGACTGATAAGGTGTCTCCTGATAAGTCAAATCAACCTGTATATTTCATGAGCCTGTGTCTGGTCTTAGTCTTGCCGCCTTCTATCATGTCTTAAGAGCTGTGATCCAGAAACACTTCAGTGCATGTAACTTCTATCAGGGTTCAAAATGTTAAATTCTGTTACAAACACTGAAAGTTTCTAGTACCATAAATGCATATGAACAGCATTTACTTTTTTCCTCATGTAGGTAAACCAATTGTATTGAATAAGAAATTGGGTGTCAATATATAGGATTTTCTTTTTGTAATATGGCATGCTATTAGCCTATTTCTCAAGCCATACCAGTAAGCCAACTTCTTCCTCTATCCCGGACTGCCTTGCTCTCTGTTAGTGTTCTAGTAGAGATTGTAGGTGTATTAGTCCAGTGATGTATGTGTCATCTTGCTCAGAAATGTTTTAAACTTGAGAAAGGGAGGTTCTCCCGAAAGCTTGTCATTAAAAAAAAGCTCACTGTCCGCCCCCCCACTGAATAGCCAATGCCACTGGACCACCAGGGATTTAATATTATTAAAATAATATAATATTAAAATAATATTATTTTATTATTATTATTATATTATTATTTTAATATTTGCATTATTTTATTTTAAAATGTTTTTTTGTCCCCCCTCCCTGATAAATGCTTGTTGCCTGGTCAGGGAGGGGGGGGGAAAAAACATTAAAAAAAAAAATAATGCAAATATTAAAATAATAAAATATTATTATATTTTATTATATTATTTTAATATTTTATTATATTATTTTAATATTATATTTAATATTATTTTATTATATTATTTTAATATTTGCAGTATTTTTTTTTAAAATGTTTTGTGTCCCCCCTCCCTGACCAGGCAACAAGCAGGGAGGGGGGGCAAAAAATTGTATTTTATTTTTTTTAAATAATTTAAATATTAAAATATTATTTAAAATAATATAATTATAATAAAATATTATTAAAATAAAAATGCCCTCCCATCACCTAGTTTACACACACTGCATTCATTATATACACACACATCACACACTGCATTCATTATATATACACACAAACACACACTCTGGATTCATTATATACACACACTGTAAATAAATATTCAGTTAATGTAATTTTATTGGGATCTAATTTTATTTAGAAATTTACCAGTAGCTGCTGCATTTCCCACCCTAGGCTTATACTCGAGTCAATAAGTTTTTCCCAGTTTTTTGTGGTAAAATTAGGGGCCTCGGCTTATATTCGGTCGGCTTATACTCGAGTATATACTGTATCTTTTAATTAAATTACACAATGTTTCATAGCCGAGGATACTCTAATTCAGTGTTCAAACATAACCGTAACAAACTGCCAGACTTCCACAGAGTTGTCATTGATTTCCAATTACATAGAAACATAGAATGTGACGGCAGATAAGAACCATTCGGCCCATCTAGTCTGCCCAATTTTCTAAATACTTTCATTAGTCCCTAGCCTTATCTTGTAGTTAGGATAGCCTTATGCCTATCCCACGCATGCTTAAACTCCTTTACTGTGTTAACCTCTACCACTTCAGCTGGAAGGCAATTAATGCACTATCGCTCCCCCTGCTGCATCACCTACCTCCCCTTCCCCCCCCAGCCCCTGTAAATAAAGGGTTTAAAAACCATTACTTATCTGGTTCTAGCACCGATGTCCATTATCACTGGGTTGAAGCTCAGCCCCCTCTGACGTCCCTTGACGAGCAGGCACTAATGCTCTGCCGCACGTGCATTAGACCTTCCCGTAGGAAAGCATTGAACAAATGCTTTCCTATGGGGAATAATCTGACGCTGGATGACCCTCAAAGGTCTGTTTAAACCAGGAAGCCCTCTAGTGGCCGTCTGACTTAGAGCTGCAATGTAAACATTGCATTTTCTCTGGAACTGCAATGTTTTATATTGCAGCACTAAGTGCAATAGGGACACTGTAGCTAGACCACTTCAGTTGGTGAAGTGGTCTGGGTGCCTCCAGTGTCCCTCTAAAAAGTAACAAGCTTCCTTTCTGCTGGTGGCTTTTCCTCTCAATCTCACCCCAGTAAATGCTATAGACACATTGACTGTGGATGATAAAGGTTTGATACTGAAGCAATAGACATATCTTACAACCTATTCGAACCATGACCACAAAGGGGGTTATGTGGTTTAAACTGTGCCTCTATCTTCAACTAGGATTTGGTGTCAAAAACCTTTTCTAACTGTCATAGTAATGTAATTGCTCAGATGTTTGGAGAGAGATAATGTCATAGTTTTTGTATTTTATTGTACTCTAATGTATCAATGCAATGTTTTGTGGACCTATTACATTGAGAAAATCCTGTTTTTTAAAACAAATTTAGCTTGAATAGAATAGACAAGTTTTCAGATATAACAATTTAAATCTTGAGCATTGTGGTTTGACAAAATATTTATTGTTCTTTAGTGTATGTGGATGGTTCTGGATGATTATGCTATATCATGGTATACATAGTACTAAATGTGAAGAACACAAAAATAAACTCTAGTTAGTGTAACAACTCAATTGACTAATGTACCACCAGTAGGACCTAAGAAACCTCCGGATCATAGGTTCTGTAACCAGTTGGGCAAACTCAGTCTTTCATGTTTCCGAAGTATGCAGGAGTTCTGTTGGGAATTATAATAAGTATGTCTGCACCAGATTCCATTAAGTTCGAAAAATGGTTTTCTAAGCATTCTGACTAAATCTTCTTATAATTATTTTTTCTTTCTTACATTTTCCACATTGTGATTCTCAGGAATATGATGTTATAGGCAGACACACATGGGAATATGTAGGAGTTTGCACACTATAATGTAGCTAAAAAAAAAAAGTTTACCTTGTGCACCATAAGTGCATAGATTGCTATGGCAGGCAGTGTTACTTGGCAATATTTGTCTTCACATTTCATCAACTGGTATCCGTGAACGTAGTTTGTATTAACAGCATTATATATTTTTGTGTATTTCAGATTACAGACCTCTCATTACCCAACTATCTTGCTGCTTCCTCTGTGGGCCTGTTTCCTACTCAGCTGCTTAATTCCTATTTGGGAACAACATTGCGTACAATGGAGGATGTCATTGCAGAACAAAGTGTTAGTGGATATTTCGTTTTCAGCTTGCAGGTTTTTTTTTTTTTTTTTTTCTCTTTCTGTAATCTGTGTGTTTTTTGGCATATGACACATGCATTTGTTGGCTTAAATGTAATAGAACATCCAGGCACTATAACAACTACAGTGTGCTCTAATGGTCATAGTGCCAGGAATGCCCTAGTGCTACGGGTTTAACAACATACCTGAAGTCTGCCAGTGTCCTCCTTTTCAGAGCTGGAAACTCTGCATTGAGGTATGCCTGGAAGTTAAGGGTTTATTAAACTGGCTGAGAATGATCCGCTAAAGCTCACAACCAATGTACTCCGCCTGCGTTGCAGAGCTTATCTTGGAAGAGGTAATAATGTATGGCTTTCAATGGAGGAAGCTTTCACTTTGCCAGTTTCGTTTGTCTGTAATTACCATAATTGTCTGCTGGCTGGTCTTGCGAAGGCCTCCTAAACTTACCATAGCTAGAAAACCAAGGATTTTTAAGTTGCTATAGAACACGTTTTGTGAGCAGAGCAGACACGACTCACAGTACATGCTGCTCATCCGATTGCCCAGTACAGCTTATTCAACTCTATTTTTGAATTAGCATTGGGAACACTTATTTTGGTACATGATCTTCCAAAATCGTATCCGTTGGAGAATACTTACAGATATATGGACATTGTAAAATATAACCCAAAAATAGGCATATAGTCAAAAGTTCCTCTTTCTATCTGAAATTTTCAGTTTATAGTTTCTGATAAATTAGATTGTTCACTGATTGTTCTGTATTTTCTTCAATTTCTTTATTTGCATAGAAAAACTGCAGCCCTTCAAGACCCTCTCTCCTGCCCCCTTCCCCCAAAAAAAACCTTTGATATTTGCTCTTCTATCACATAACAGGAAGTACGCAGGTTTCATTTTTATTTAAAGTGTCATTTTCCTTATTGAACACATGCAGTGTACATTCAGTGTATGTCCTGTTTTATAATTCATGAGTGGATGTAGCACCTCTTTGTAACACAACACTATACATCAGACTCTGCTTAATTAAATTTTAATCATGTGCTGTAGGAGCATGTTTGCTCTGTTTGCTCAGTACAGCTCTAATTTATAGTGTTCTTTAGTTTGCATTAGTTTAAAAATAACATTGATTATATTTAAAGGGTTACTTCAGGTACCATCCAAGCACCATGACCACTTCAAGTCACTGCAGCGTTTCACCATAAAATGCTACAAATATAAATTCAAGCTCTTTGCTCCCACTACGGCAGAGTTATAAGCCAGCCTGGAACAAGAGTTCTGGGCAGGCGAATGTCAGTTCTGTCTATATTGGACATCTGTCATCAGCATGTACCGCAGTCTGAGAACAGGTGACCAAAGAATGCATGGTAGTCGGAATTGTCTGTGGTCCAAGGTTGGGTACCTATGGAATGTTACTATCACAGATATATACTTTGTTCCAGACAAACGACTGTATCATTTAAATTGTTGTAAAGGCTATATATGCAATTTAGGCTTCTATGATGTGTACATGTAACTCGTGTAGTAGAGCCCCTCAGAGATTACACACAGTCTCCAGACTCTCTCCTCTCTGATGGCTTGTTGATTCCTGTGACTTTGTTGGCAGAAGCAGAATAATATTTCTAATCACATTATTGATCTCCGTGATCAAAAAATCTAGAGTGACTGCCTCTTTAAACTATGGCATTTACACCTTTTTGCAGACAGATGATGAAAAAGATGATATAATTTATCGATGGCAATTTATTTTTTGTTTCATGCTATGAAGGCTGTCTACGGTTTAATCAGTGCTTTAAAAAAACTGTCATGTCATGAAGTGTTCATGTTGTCAGGTGAGCATGATCTCCAGGGCTATTTACTCTTGAGTACCTGTTGTTCCAGATAAACTTTAGTCAGGCGATTCCCCTCTCTTTTTTGTTTTTTTTGTTTTCTCTGTATCATAATTTTGTAACACATGTTAAATGCATGTTTGCAGGAATTATTACTTAAAGGATACCTAAACATATGTACCCCAAAATCTACACCTCTGGACATACTGTATGCTGGGCTACAGTTATATGATAATATAACAAAATAAAGGAAGGTTGTGCCAAAAATATTTTAATACCACAAGTAAAAATTCTCTCAATAAAAACAGATCCTAAAGAATAATAAAAAAAAAAACATAGCTTAAAAAAAAAAAAGGAAACGGTAGAAGTATAAAACAACAATATTAGATTGTAATAGTTTGTAGATCTTATGTAGTCTTACTCACATTTTCCAGAACTAATACTCTATACTCTAGTGTAATTGGCATACAGTGGTAATTATCCCCACTTATAGGATATGTGTGAAGATGTAATCTGATATCACAGCAGCGTTGTGAGCATAAAACACATAAAAAAAAAATAAAATAAAAAAAATAGAAAAACAATAGTTCTCTCTGTATAGGATAAATCAGGAGTAATATATAGGTGTTTTTACTACTATTTAATTGAGCAGTCAAACCTGGAATTAATTGTTTGGTGATGCCAAACAATATAAAATTAAGACCAAATTGAAGTAAAAAGGAATGTAAAACACTCACGGTATAAAAGTAGCCAATATCCCTTTTCTAAAATATTAAAATAATCCACAATGTGTTTCACCAGACAGGACTTTATCAAGTAAGTAAGTGTGTGTGTAAGAAATACAAACATACTAATATTGAATTTTGTGCCAACTTGACGTCATCACCACGTGACTACATCATAAACATAAAATGTACAAATTAAAGTTACTATCATTTTTTTTATTTTATTTTTATTATTAATAAAATAACTATGTATGAAAATGTGTGGAAACTGAAAACCTGTTAAAAACAAAGCTTTGACGAGTGATTACTATTCCGCATCACTTGGTCTTGCACTATGGAGAAACTTGTTTAACCTTAATTTGCCTCTAGTGTGCAAGAGGACTGGTAAGCGCACACTGGTAACTAATCAGAATTGCACATGGAGGTCAGATAGCGCTGGGTTTCAATATCTTTACATTAGACTCCCTATGGAAAAAATTTCACCATACACCAAGATCGCTTTGCGCATGTATTTAGCACTCTGCAATCTCTAAGTTAAATGCAACACAACTCTGATGTGTGTTAGACATATGGAGCTTCAAAGTCTACAGATGCACCTGTGCCTCGACAGGCAAACAGTTGGTGGGGGCTCTGGGTGGAGTTGATCTTTATAAAGCTAGGAGGGGAGGAAACTAGGGATGGTTACTGCATTTTTTTAAATTTTTTTTAACCTATTCAATGCTACTTGTCCAGTGAAAGAAGAAAGGGCTTCTAACCGTTTGTGATGACTCTTACTTGGCCATTTGAAAAATGTTTGTTTTTCCTCCCTGCTCTCAATGCTGAGCAGAAAAGACCTCCCACATGAGGACCTTCTATTCTTCCAAGCATTGCAACCACAGCACATGCACCGTAGTTGCTATGGCAACATCCTAGCTGGTGCTAATAGCACTGGTTATGGAGTATAAGAACAGAGTGACATGCTGGCGTCGTTGAGAAGGCTTGCCCTGCTTGGAGAAGCGTCCCTATGCAGGGCAAATCAAAGAAGACCAGAGGCTGGGTGGAGGACAGGCCGAAGTAGTGTGTTGGGCTGCACAAGCTGGTAGTGTTGTGTAGACAATAAATGTATTTATCCGGATCACTGCCAGGGCAATATTTGAGACCATAGTGTAAAGATGTTCGCTTTTTTTGTTCTTTTATCAGATTCATACAATTGATCTAAAAAAATAAACAATAATAAATTCTATAAGTCAATTTTGCCACTTAAAAGAAACCCACAAAACATGTTTTTTGTTTTGTCTCTTTTTTATTTATTATTATTGGTATTTAATTTGATAACAAAATATTGCATCTTTGTGAAAATGCTCATAAAGTTTGTATTGGAATTTCTCTGAAATTCTCTCATGCATGTGCAACAATATAGTGCTGAAGTTAACTCCTGACAGATGAAGTGTTAGGAGCCGAAAAGGACCTCATGAAAGAATATGGGGATTTCTGCAAGGGACAGGTTAAGAGAAATTAAATCTACCTTTCCTGCTCCCCATGGACACCATAATGCAAGTGGAACAGTTACCTTCTGAGTTATTGCAGAAGTTGACTGATTATTTATTTAATATGTGCCTCCTCTCCTGCAACTGTCAAAAAATAAAGTTCTCAGTGAATACTTTTTTAGCAACCTATTTCATTACCCCTACTTATACCCTTTGTGTCACTATACCCCACTCCCTCAAGCATGTAAGCACATTAAGCCTGGCCCTCAACCCCTCTGTTCCTGTGCGTCCATTTGTCTGGTTACAATTACATGACTGTTAGTCCACCCATTGTACAGCACTACGGAATATGCTGGCGCTAAATAAATAATATAATTGTATAGCTTTGCAATATGCTGAATAGCTGTCTTTAACGGCATATATTTAACGGTAATAACTTGTTTCTGTCTTTATCCACAGATTGTTATAAGCATAGCTCTTATGTTTTATGTTGTCCATCGAGCTCAAGTGGAGCTGAATGCAGCCATTATAGCTTGTGAAATGGAGCTAAAGACATCTCTTAAAGGCAGCCAGCTCAATGGCAATGGACCAGCATTGTGCAACAAAAGGACATTGCTGTCTTCTGGAGGAATCAACATTGTATGATTGTTAAACATTTAGGTTGTTCTAAGCCTTTTATTATAATTTTTTTTATTTTTATTTTTTTATTAAATTGCCAACATCATGGTTTCTAAGGATCACCATTCCTGTTCCTGGATGGAGTGCATGTTATTCCCAAAAACATTTCCAGAGAACTTGTACACATTTCCCATTGATGAAAACATCTCAGCAAATTTGAAAGTTGGAAGCATTTCTGCAACTTTATCTTATGTGTTCTAAGACCGATGCATAGCACTTTTCTGTGTCGCTCTAAAATGAATTGTTTCTGGGCCTCTTTATTTATTACTACATATACTTATGTATATCATTTTTAAGGTGTTCCTGTGTTGTGATTATTTTTTTTTTTTTTTTGTATTGTTAGATACCTAGACAGTGTTTTTTTATAACCACAGGACCATTTTCTTCTAAGTGAGACAATTTAAACTTAAACCCAAACTAGTGGGACAAAGTGCTCTTAAACCAGATTGTTTGTTTTTGTTTAAACTGTGCTATCGGAGATGAAAATCTGGAGTTTATAGATTTCTGTATGTTAAAGCCATGGCTGCTGGTTGTGCATTGGGTGTAGACCAGTGATGATATTTTATGGTTTCATTGTTTGGTAAGCCTGGGAATCTTGGTTATTAAGCAAGCCTGAAGCGCCTTCTCCAAAATTGATAGTTCTGTCCTATTGTTAATAAGCCCCCGATTTTCAAGTTAATGTTACCACAAAAAAAATGCAGATGAAGATCACTTCAAGCAAGTAATAAAGTCTATATACTGTGCTAGTAATATTGTAAAATAGAAATATTGTAAGGTTACTTACTGTGATGGCCACAAACTAGGTGGTGTGATGCTCCATTTTACATATGGGTGCTGCGACAGATGCAAATACACCCCTTTTGGCTATCCTGTGTGTAGGTTATGGGGCCAGCATAGAAGTGTTATCTTTACGTTGACTAGTCACAAAAATCTTTTCTGTGTTAATTTAAATAACTTGCTAATTAAACAGAGTCCTCTTCTAGCATTCAAACCCAGCTACAGGTAATTTAGATATAATTATCACTTGAAGATCAGATCGGTTTTCACTGTGAAGGTTGGCCTTTCAAAATTACAACTTTAAAACCCTCTATAAGACTGTTACTAGATTAAAAAAAAAAAAAAGAGAGCAAACAATGCCAATCTGAAATTACCTGTAGCTCGCCACATTCCAGTGTACAGAAAAAAGTTTATATGTATTCTCTTTGATTAATATTGTCCCTTTGCAGCAAGGGAAACCTAGTTCGCTAAATCTCTGAAATGATTGACAATGCCGATCAGGCTTACAAATCAACATAAGGTATGGTCTCATTTTCAAGTACTAGGTGATTAGCCAGGGTACCTGAGAACGATGCCACTGGAGATATACTGTGTTTACTTGCCAGCAATTTGGATGCCGCAATATATAAAATTAAATATTGGGTAAAGATCGCCCCCTCGTCATATTAAGACAGGTAAACGCTCTGTCTGGAGAATTCCTAGGTTTCTTTCTAGAACCATTAATAGTCGCAATATTAGGGCGTTTAAAATGTAGTATCTATATTTTTCTACATACATAACAATATGATTTGTCTCCTGTATACAAATTCTATAGAATTTTGATGTCCATATTCATTGCTTCTTAGGCTTATACAATAGCATTAGACGTACATACATGATACAATTCTTGTGATTGTATATTTGTACATTTACTTTAATAATATCCCTGCTAATGATGGACGGTCTGCAACAAGTTCTAATGAGTGGCCTTTAACTTTTTATGTGTCTTTTTTCTTTTTTTGTCTTTTTTTTTTTTTTTTTCACACGTTTTGAAAACCAGCTTTAAATTGAACATAAAACATACATTTGCTTGGTTTGTTGTGTTTTTAAATTTGTAAAGTACCGTACTGTATGTTATACTGTATTTTGCACATTATTATCTTTTATTTTTAATCGTGGACGATAACAGCTGAACGAAAAATTAGTCGGGACATAAAAATCCAATTCAACTCAGGACTTTCCAAAATGTGAATTTACTTTATCAATTGCAGTCCAATTTTGGAAGATGGAACAATATTAATTTTGTTGTTTGACTTGTAGAATGTAATGTTGCAAAAACCTTGTAGTCTAGGCTTCACTTCTAATTAAGGATACTGTTGCTTAAGTCCAATTTTCAAAGCTTGTGTAATAGGATATATATATATATATTTGAAGCCTGTTTTCTTTTTCATAAACTTCTAATTGATTAGAAATGAATGAATAACTTAAATTGTACCTTGCAAAATTAACGCAAAGGGAAACTAATTTCATGCGTATATTGTGCAAATCTAATTGCAAGCAAATGTATAGAAATGGCTTGATGGAGATGACATTTTAATTTTTAGTTGTACAAACTACTACTGCATTGACCAATGAGGTGTTCAAATATTCGTATACATTTTGCTATTCTTGTGATAAAGCCCTCGATGCTGTGTTTGCAACTGTGTGCATAGAATTCTGGAATTTCAACCCAATACTTTGTGGAATGATATACATCTATGTAACTGCATCGACTCTGGAGTATCATTTAAGCTATGTATGTCATTTGGTGGCAATTTCACTAGCATGGTGTAAATATTACATTGTTCCAATGTTCATGTCCTACGCTACTTGTATCAACAGCAAAAACATATGTGAGGAAGGTTGAACTTGATGGACGCAAGTCTCTTTTCAACTAGGTAACTTGTCACTGCAAGTCTGGAGGGTCCATGGCTCATTCACCAAGGGTTAATTTCTACTTGCCAGGGCCAAATTTTTCATCGCCAATGGCTCGTTGAAATTTTGAGCACTGATATTATAGCTGATGACTGGTCCACTTTTATCATTAGCTAACAATAACAAAGCTGTATACATTTTTTATTTTTTTTTTCCTCTGAGACTGCTGTGCAGAAGATAGAACATCTCATGAATGCCACCTATACACATGCCTTCTGTATCTTAAGCGCCTCTCACAACCCTATTGTATTTATTTAAAGAGACAAAAATGTTTTAACCCTTTTCAAAGCAGATGTTAACATTTACTATCCCCTTTTGTACCGTTTGTCTCACTTACTTGGTTTACAGAGATTTGTTCCATGCTTAATCAGCAGTCTTTCAATTTGCTATTCCGCTACCACCTAAAGGTACACTATAAGTATCCAGACTAGTGATGTCCCGAACGGTTTGCCGCGGACAGTGAACATAAACTTTGACCCTGTACCTCACAGTCAGCAGACACATTCCAGCCAATCAGTAGCAGACCTTCCCTCCCACCTCCTGGACAGCTCACTAAGAATGTAGCTTCACAATGAATGTAAAATGGATGCTGTCCAGGAGGTGGGAGGGTCTGCTGCTGACTGGCTGGAATGTGTCTGCTGACTGTGAGGTACAGGGTCAAAGTTTATGCGAACCGTTCGGGACATCACTAATCCAGACCACTTCAGCTCATTGGTGCAGTGTCTCTGTCCTACTTAGGCCAGCAATGTGAAATGTTGCAGTTTTAGAGAATGTTTACATTGCAGTACTAAGACAGCCTCTAGTGGCTTTCTACCAGACAGCCATTAGAGGCACTTCCGAGATTCTACCGGACTTTTGGTCGCCTGACACATGCCTCACGTCTGTTAAATCCCCATAGGAAAGCATTGAGTTGTGCTCGCCTCAAATATGTGCATGTGTGTTAGTGCCCCTGCCCCCATCGGGTGACGTCTGAGGAGGCGGAGCCTTGATCTCCCTGGGGTAAGTGTTACAAGGTATTTTTTTTTTTTTTAAACCCTTGCAGTGTGGGGTGGAGGAGGGTTAGTGCAAGGAAGGATTGGTCAGGGGGAATTATAGTGCTATGAATACAACTTTGTTAACCAGTTGCTGCTTCTCTGTTCTGGCTTGTGCCTTTTACCTCATTACTAGCAGTGTTCGTTTTACTATTTCTAAATGTCATTTGCATGTATGTATCTCATTCTAATTATGTGTTGGTTCTTTAGTGTTTTTCTGAAACCCATGATGGCATTGATGACTTCTTATGTCCAAATGTTAATTTGTTCAATATTTTTATTATATATTTTTTTGTTTCCATCCACTGCATTGATTTTATCTGTCACCAGCACTCCAGGATTAAATTGGCCTTTTGCATTTGAGGGTTTTTTTTTTTTTTTCCTTCCGTATATGGAACACAGAGGGAAGGATATCATGGACCATTCTAGAACAGGGATAGGCAACCTTCGGCACTCCAGATGTTGTGGGTTACATACCCTATAATGCTGTTACACCCACAATTCTGGCAAAGCATCGTGGGAGGTGTAGTCCAAAACATCTGGATTGCCAAAGGTTGCCTATGCTTGTTCTGGAACATCTCTGATAAAATGGCCCGATTAATCAATGTACACTTTTAGAAATGAGACTGCCATACTTGGTAAGACGGCTTCATTTTCAATGGGAAATGTAATCAAACATTTTTAACATATTTTTTTTTTCTGTCTTTCACTTGATACTGTTTTTGTTAAATTACATCATAATCCAGTTCAGTCACTTAAAGCATTGGAAGAGCAAAAACCAAAAACTGTGTATTTGTTTCTCCTCTTCTGTCAATTATTAGTCTATGCCAACTGAAAGGGGTAAAGAGCAAAATCTATAGCAATGGTTAGTACCATTCCCCTTTAATATCCTAATGTAATCTGTATTGTGTGTTCCTATTGCTTAAGTAATCCTAGCCAGCTCACTATCGCATGAAGATGGCAGAAGTGGCCATCTTGGGAATCAGATACGAATATATTTTTTAACCTATAGATCATCTGGTTATTATGCAATTGCAATGTAAAAATGAAATCTCTATACCTATATAAGGCTGACTTTATCTGTATGTGGTTGTGTGAATGACCAAGACGTCTTTAAGCAAAAACCACCTTTCTTTTATAGAAGGTGATAATGTGAACTTTATTACTAATAAACCATTTTTATTTCTGCTTGTATACAGCCCTAGCATTGTCTGCCATCTTCCAATACAATAGATATGGCTGACAGAACATCATTGGGCATCTTATTCAAGTGACCTCTTACAGTTATCCCCCGTACATACTACTCCTAGGGTTGCACATGTTTGTATGAAAGGTGCAAATAATTGTCAGTGTGTGGTTTTTAACTCAACCTTTTCTTTTATCTACCATTGTGTAACATTCTTTAGAATAGGAAAAATAAATGATCTCTCTCCCCCACCTCCTCTTTTTCCTTATACGTATGAAACAACCTTTTGAACGGTTGTGCAATTCACCATATTTGTATGGTGCAGAGCACTTTGAATCTGAGACGATCGTTATTGGCAATGTTTTCTAATTTGTGTAATTTTGCATTTTGCTTGTAACTTGTGCAATTAAGAAGGGACATTGGTTCAAATGTATTTTCGATCATAGTTTTATATAAGAATTCTTGAAACTCCTTAAATAAATCTTATGCAAATAGCTTTTAAAATGCCTTTTACAGTCTGTGTGTGTGTGAAACTTAATTTATATATATTATTATTTTTTTTAAATAACTGCTAGAACATGCATTTCTAGAATAATTAATTGGATGGGGTGACATGTGGCTTTATATGCATAACTGAGAATTGTGGAAAACTGACCAATTATATTGCATTTTTGCAGTTATCCTGTCAAAAAAAAAAAAAAGGACAATTCCCTTGTCAAATGTCCACACTTCCCAGTTTATTTAATAAACTGTTGTGTTCAAGTTCTGCATGACTATCAGTATTTCGGTATGTACAGTGCCCTCCATTAATAATGGCACCCTGGGTGAATATAAGCAAAGCACTTAAAAAGTTTCTTTATTGCTTAAAAATTACACAAAAATAGTCTGCTCTCATGAACATCTAACAGTTGCAAACCCAGGTATAAAAAAAAATATTTATATATAATTGACCCACTTTTTTTTTTTTTTTGCAATAATTTGTCCCTTTGCCACCCACAATAAGAGTCTTATAATGCCTGATAAGGTTGGAGAATACATGGCAAGGGATCTGAGACCGTTGCTCCATACAGAATCTTTCTGCAGGTTTTCTATGGGATTTGAGTCAGGGACTGGGATGGCTATGACAGGACCTTGATTTTGTGGATAATATTCCTGCTGGAAGATGCAACCACGGTCCATTTTAAGCTTTCTAGCAGAGTCAGTGGTGGTGGTCATTTAATATCTGATATTTAATAGTGTTCATGATGCCATGTATCCTAACAAAATGTCCAGGTCCTCTGCCAGAAAAACATTCCCAAAACATTAAAGAGCCATCACCATATTTAACTGTGGTCATGAGATTTTTCTATATGGATACCTGTCTTTTAGCTCCAAACCCACCTCTGGTGTTTACTGCCAAGAAGCTCTTTTTTGGTTTCATCTGACCATAGAGACCGATCTTATTTGAAGTTCCAAAAGTGTCGGCAACCTGAAAATGCTTGAGTTTGCATGAGAGTAGAGGCATTTTTCTTTAACCCCTTAAGAACCGACTGTTTTTGCGATGTTGTACATTTGCGACCAGGCATCTTTTTACACTTTTTTGTGAAATGTTTGTGGTTAGCAGTAATTTTCCGCTCTCATTTACTGTTCCCATACAAATTTTATATATTGTTTTTTTAGGACAAAAGGGGCTTTCTTTACATACCATTATATAATCTCATTTAATTTAAAAAAAATAAATTATGATAAAAAAAATACAAGTTTTTTTACTTTTACTTGAAAAATCGTTTACTCATCTACAAAAGCGAATGAAAAAAACTGCTAAATAGATAAAAAAATTTGTCCTGAGTTTAAAAATACCCAGTGTTTACTTTTTTTCGCAAGTTATAGGGCTATAAGTACAAGTAGGATATTGCGGTTTCAAAACATACATTTTTTAAAATGTATCAATAGTGACATTGTAACACTATTATCTGTCATAAATCTCTGAATAACACCCCATATGTACATATTTTTTTTTTTTAAAGTAGACAACCCAGGGTATTCAATATAGCATATGTCTAGTCTTTTTTAGTAGCCACTTAGTCGCAAACACCAGCCAAATTTAGCATTCATATTTGTTTGTGTGTGAAAAAAGTAAAAAAACTAAATTGAACGCTAATTTTGGCCAGTGTTTGTGACTAAGTGGTTACTTAAAAAGACTGGTCATACCCCATTTGCAATACATTGGGTTGTCTTCTTTTGCAGATGATATGCCATCATGGGGGTAATTCTCATTCCTGGGCTACCATACGCTCTCAAAGGCAAAGTAACCAACCTGGCCATTTTCAATGTAAAAATATTTGACCCTGTAACTTTCAAAAACGCTATAAAACCTGTAAATTGGGGGTACTGTTATACTCGGGAGACTTTGCTGAACACAAATATTAGTGTTTCAAAATAGGAAATCGTATCACAACAATTATATCATCCGTAAAAGTGCTGTTTGTGTGTGAAAAATGCAAAAAAAGTAACTTTCACTGACAATATCATCGCTGTGATATGTTTTACTGATTTGAATCACTAATATTTGTGTTCAGCGAAGTCTCCCGAGTAAAACCGTAACCCCATGTACAGGTTTTAGGGTGTCATAGAAAGTTACAGGGTAGAATACAGTGCTAGCAAATTAAATTCTCTGGGTTTGCAGGCAGGTCCCTCAAATTGCAATCAATAAAATTACTTAATTATGTAAAAATATTACATAAATACGCACATAGAATTTAAATATATATGCATATTTATATATTTGAAGTCTACATGTATATTTATATAATTTATGTAATTTTGTAAATGGACATGTATATTTCGTATTATTTTTTTATATATATATATATATAATACACACATACAATTTCATTCTAAGTGTATTTTGATATAAATATATATCAATATACAGTTAGAATAAAATTTCATATAGATATCGCCATCCAAGTCAATGGCGCTACTATCACCTCTACCTCCCAGGCTCGCTGCCTAGGAGTTCTTTTTGATTCTGATCTCTCTTTTACTCCCCATGTTCAATCGATAGCCAAATCCTGTCGCTTCCAACTCAAGAACATAGCGCGCATCCGCCCATATCTAACGCCGGACGCGGCTAAGGTACTGGTTCATGCTGTTGTTCTCTCTCGCCTTGACTATTGCAATCCCCTTCTCACCGGTCTTACATGTTCCCAGCTTGCACCGCTGCAATCTATAATGAATACGGCTGCGAGGCTTATTTTCCTGTCCGGTCGCACCTCCCACGCCTCCACGCTCTGTCAGTCCCTGTATTGGCTTCCAGTTAGATATAGGGCCCAATTCAAAATTCTGGCGCTTGCTTACAAATCCCTACATAATGCTGCTCCAACATACCTATCTTCCCTCATACACAAGTATGTCCCGACGAGACCCCTGCGCTCAGCCCAAGACCTACTCCTATCCTCTGCCCGGATCCCAACCTCTGATGCTCGCCTTCAAGACTTCTCCAGGGCTGCACCTATTCTGTGGAACTCCCTTCCCTCCTCAATCAGACTTTCACCCAGCCTCCATTCCTTCAAAAAATCTTTGAAAACTCACTTCTTTATTAAAGTGTATCAATTAAACTGTCAGCAGGTTTCTCATCCCCCACCCCATGACTCCGTTCCTTCACCTGTCAAAAATGACCTACCAAGCACTCAATAAACCCTTCTGTAACAAACTATTTAATTCCCCTACTTTAACCCTTTGTGTCACTATACCCCACTCCCTCTAGCATGTAAGCTCATCGAGCAGGGCCCTCAACCCCCTCTGTTCCTGTACGTCAGTGGTCTGATCTCAATTATGCTCCACTGGGGAGCTTTCATCAGGATATATATATATATATATATATATATATATATATATATATATATATATAATCTCCTTTTATATTTTTTATTTTACACTAGCAGGGTGACTGCCTGTCAGCAAAGGCAGTCCCCCTGCAGGCAGACACATGGACACCTATTGTGACCATGTGATCGCTCTGTTAAGCGATCACATGGCCACAGGGGTCCTAATCCGCCATGGGGAGACTGCCGATCGCCGCCGGGGGAACGACGGCGATCGGGTAAGTACATTTTACCGTTAGGACGGTTCAGGACTGTCAGCGGTCCGCAATGCAAAAATGCCAATGATTGTCCTGAACTGTCCTCTGTCCTTAAGGGGTTAAACCCCTCCAAACAACTTGTGGTGATATAGGGGATGTTGGATTGTAGTGTTGATGACTTTCTGACCCCAAGCCTCAACGTCTGCAATTTTCCAGCTGTGATCCTTGGAAATGTTTTGACCATCAAACGATCCTCTTCACAGTGTGTTGAGACAATATAGAAACATGCCGTCATACATAATGCATAACATTTCCTGTAGCCTGGAACATCATTAATGCCCAGATGGTGGAAATAGGCACAACTTTTTGCACGCATCACAGCAATATTGCTTGGTCTTACCCATTGTGATGAATGACTAAGGGAATTTGACTTATGTGTTACCTTATATTAATACCTATGTGAAACAGGAAGTCATGGTTGAACAATTTCCTGTTCCTAGGCATATAATTAAAATATATTTTTCTCATATGAATTCATATTGATCCACACACAAAAGGTTAGACAACAAAGATATATTTTGCACAGTCTTCTTTGCTAATGGGTGTTGACCTTAATAAACCCTGACTTTTTAGAGTGTATAGATTTGTAATAAAGTACACGGTAAAATTAGAAATTGTAATTACTTCTGAAAAGGCAGTACATAAGGGCCATTAACATCCCAGGAGATCATACTTAAAGGGGGTCTATTCACCAAACTAAGTTGTTGCTTCAAACTACTACAGTGGCAATGGAACACAATCGTAAAGTGTAACTCACATTGTGCAAGTGAGTTCTCATTGCAACCACTTTTAGAGTTAGTGGACAAAAATTGACACTTATATTAACAATGTTTTTAATGGAAAATTTGCAGCAATGTGCTTTTGTGTTTAAAAACCAAAAATTTTCTCATGTACTATTGCTTCCATTTCGGCTAGTAAAGTAATGATCCTTTGGCTCTCATCTTTTCTTTTGGTCTTAAAGGTTTTTCTCCTATAAACAAATGTAAGGTTTGTTTGGGCATTTTTTTTTATATAAAAATGCATTTCAATCCAATAATCCAAACATATTAAAGGCACACTTCAAGCACTATATAATTAAATTCTTGTATAGTCTTGTTTTCTTTAAACCACTCGTAGTGTCTTTAGTGCGAAGCATGAATCCGATATAGCTAAACGGTATAATCCCACTTTTTTGCCAACTTTGCTGTAGCTATAGGACCGTTCCCAAACTCGGATAGCACAGAAGGGAGCCTATTTTTCTTTCTATTCAAGCACTCTTGCAGGCACTCGCTATACGTGCTTGAGTGAGAAGAGGGGGCAAAGCTATTGAGTCAATTTGGCTAGAAGTATGCATTTCTCTCAAATGCACATGCCATGTATATACTGCTGATGATATGAAAACGAGAAATGAATCACGTGTTCCCTGGAACAATGGTAATGGTAATGAAATGTGGCACAGTCCAGAAAAAGTTGGGAACCACTACTTGCATCCATAGTTCCACTGAGAAAACCATGAATGAAGCTGTTGGTAAATTGATAGCAGTTATACTGCAGTTCCTATCTTGGCACAACTTTCATTCCTCAAATCTGATAAAATGAATTTCTGCCAAGTGCTTTTCTATACATATTGTACAACAGAATGCAGGTCAACTACAGCCTCATGGACAATTACAGATTTTAAAAAAACCTGCAGAGAACATGTAATGGCAACCGCTAAAACAGAGGAAAGGGTTCACCGAAAATCCCTCTGTCCAAACGGAAGCAAAGGTACTCCAAAATTCTTATATTACAATAAAAGGTATGCTTATTTTTAAAAAGATACTACAGTATGGTGCATAAATCACTTCTGATTAATGTTTTATAATTTATATAACAAGAGATGAGTTAAACCTGGAGTGCCAATTTAATTTCATATAATCAAATTATTTTTTTAAGGAATGCTCTGCCATTTAGTAGTTAAATAACTTTGTTTACGCAGCCACAGTCAGACCTACCTGCATGTGACTTAGTTATCCTAAACACTTCCTGTAGCGAGAGCTCTAATGTTTAAACTTCCTTTATTGCACAGTGTGTTTAACCCCTTAAGGACTGAGCCAAATGTACACGTTTTGATCAAAATAAAACTTAATCAAAACTCGGAATTTGACTATGTCTGTTCAACCGTAATTCATCTCTTTCATATTAAGTGCACCCACACTTATTATAAATCATTTTATTCAGGAGAAATAGGGCTTTCACTTAACATCAAATATTTAGCTATGAAACATATTTTAATATGAATAAAATATAAAACAAAAGTGAGAAATTAAGTTTTTAGTTCTGCATGACATTTTAACTGTCAATGTCATAATACTGTTTGCTTTTACTGCAACAAAATACACATTTGTATTCAGCAAAGTCTCACGTGTAAAACAGTACCCCCTATGTACTGGTTTTATGGTGTTTTGGGAAGTTACAGGGTCAAATATAGCATGTTACATTTTTCAGTTTTTTTTCACATTGAAATTCGCCATATTGGTTACGTTGCCTTTGAGACCGTATGGTAGCCCAGGAATAAGAATTAACCCCATGATGGCATACTATCTGCAATCGTAGACAACCCAAGGTATTGCAAATGGGGTATATCCAGTCTTTTTAGAAGCCATTTAGTCATAAACACTGGCCAAAATTGCGTTAATATTTGTTTGTGTGTGAAAAATGCAAAAAACTAATTTGAACGCCAATTTTGGCCAGTGTTTGTGACCAAATGGCTACTAAAAAATACTGGACATACCCCATTTGCAATACCTTGGGTTGTCTACTATTGCAAATGGTATGCCATCATGGGGGTCATTTTCATTCCTGGGCTACCATACGCTCTCAAAGACAACATAACCAATCTTGCAAATTTCAATGTGAAAAAAACCTGAAATGATGGGTACTGTTATACTTGGAAGACTTTGCTAAACATCAATATTAGTGTTCCAAAACTGTAAAACGTATTACAACAATTATATCGTCAGTGTAAGTGACATTTGTGGGTGAAAAATGCAAGAAATGTCACTTTCACTGACGATATCATCGTTGCAATACATCTTACGGTTTTGGAACACGTGTGTGTGTTTTTTTTCTTTTGTTTTTTTTCTTCTATTTACAGAGCAGGAGGTAAAAACTTCTAGAGTAAGTTAAAATGGGACACTCTAAACAGAATGATGGGATGATTGGCTGCAATGCTCAGTACTTTCATTAGGCGTCACTATACTTTCCACACAGATAGCTGGTAATGATTCTGATGTAACTCAAAGAATGTTGGTAACTGCTGCTCCTGTGCTTGATACAAAAGTAGCAAAATGTAGTTGCAAATGTTAAATATATGCAATTGCGCAAGTGAATAGTTAAACTATTCACTTGCTGATATAAAAACAGTTGTATAAGGCAATTATAGTAATTTACATAAGAATAATAGAAAATGGATCAATACACATGCCAAGAAACACATTTAACCAGTTTCTGATGGTAATTATTTTTCTCTGAAGGGATTATGGGTGGAATATCGAGTTTACACATGCCAAGGAACATATTTAACCTATTTCTCATGGAGTCATAGGTATAATTTTTTTTTACTAGGGGATTATGGGTGGAATATTGTGTTTACCAATGCCAAGGAACATATTTAACCTGTTGGTTAAAAGTATATGGTTATAATTATTTTTCTATGAAAGGATTATGGATGGAATATCATTTTTACACATGACAAGGAACATATTTAACATTTTTTCTGATGGAACCATGGGAATAATATTTTTTCTATGTGGGAATTAATGGTGGAATATGATGGTTAAAATATATTTTTTTCTATATGAGAATTATGGGTAGAATATTATGGTTACACATGCCAATAACATATTCGACTTTTTTCTAATGGAAACATGGGTATAAAATAGAAAATGTATTCCATACTTACTAATATCTTGTTTTTCCTGGATATAGGCCATGGCAGCATTACAGATGTATAAAGCTTCTTGCACTCCTAAATTGGACAGAAACACCTTCTATCAGTGGCGGAACTAATGTAGAGCGTGCCCTGGTGCAAGAAAGTTTGTTGGTCCGCTCTCTAGTGCAAAAGTGTCCAAAAGGTAGATTACCATCTGTCTTACAACTAGACGTGCACCAGTGAATTTTTTTTTTTCGTACAAATTATTTTGTACTAAATAAAAAATTTAATTCGTCAATCCCAATTTCGTTCGCAAACCATTTTCTTTTTTTAAACGGAATTCATAAAAAAAATTATTTGTTTTCGTCCATTAGGACAAAAACAGCACTGCACATGCAAAAAAAAAAAAGCAAGGAAGGAGGGAGCCAGCAGCACTAACCGCTCCTTCCTTGTGAAACTATTCCTACTCCCCCTGCCCCTACCCTCCCACGATAAAAGCTATGGGGGACCTATTGCTGCCCAGTCACTAGTGCAATAAGGGGGGACCTGGCACAGGTTAAATCCTGCTGCATGCCCCTTCCTGTGCCAGGTCCCCCCTTGTAGTAGGGGCATGTTGCCTAAACTTATAATTTTATTTAAAACTGGATATAAAAATCAATATCTTATATAGAAGTGATAGAGAGCTACGGTAAGAGTACATGTAACCAAAAGTTATAGCAAAAACTATAACAATGTTGCAATATGAAAAAGTAGCTATTTAAATCTAAATAGCTACTTTTTACACCAAGCATGACAAAGCCGCGGGCCGCATGCGGCCCACAAGGACCATCTTTGCTGCCCAGCGAGCCGCGAGTGCATGCTCAGTGTTATGGCAGAGTAGGCACCTGCTTCCCCCATATTGCAGGTGCCTACTCTGCTCATTTACCCGGCTGAGGTCTCTACCGGCAGCAAGGGAGCTCAGCCTTCCTGCGCCTCACTGCTCCCTCGCGTGCGCCCACTGAAGTGAAGCCGGGAGCCAGAATATGACGTCATATTCCGGCACCCGGCATCACTAAACCGTGCACACGGGAGCAGTAAGGAGCAGGGAGATGCCCCACATCGGCTCCATAAGGTAAGGAGCAATAAAGAAAAGTGTGTCTGTCTGTCAGCGAGTATTATTGTGTGTGTGTGGGTCTGTCAGTGTGTCTGTCTGTGAGTGTGTGTGTTTGCGGCCCACATAAACTTAAACCTTGTTTATGTGGCCCGTGCCACACTTTGAATTTGACATGCTTGTTTTACACGATCTCTTACCGTACTCTTTACACAGAAATACAAGATCCATTTATATCCAGTTTTAAATGACAGCCTGTCGCTGTTTAGGTGACATGCCCCTACTTCACAGGGGGACCTGGCACAGGTACGGGTATGCGGAAGAAGTTAACCTGTGTCAAGTCTCCCCTTATTGCACTAGTGACTGGGCACTAGTAGTTTTAGATTTGTTTAGGCAACATGCCCCTACTTGGGGCATGCGGGAGGATTTATTCTCCCTTTTATCAGCTGCTCACTGTCATTTAAAACTAAATATAAATCAGTATGGGGGTCACTATGACCCCCATATTGATAAAAGGGGCATGTCACCTAAACAACGAGCTGTCATTTAAAACTGAGTGACTGTGCAGCTATTGCTGCCCAGTCGCTAGCCCAATAAGGGGGGAACCTGGCACAGGTCCCCCCATTCCCTGATGGTGGGAAACACAACTAAAATGGGGGAGACATAGTGCCCCCCCCCGCATCTCCACCCCTGACCCGCGGGTGGGGGCTATTAATATAAACGGCCCCCTAGTCCCCACTCATGTTCAGCAAGTGGGAATCCTAATTAAATAAATAATGGGGAGGGGACCTGATAGGAAAAATAAATCCCAATGGTTAAAAAATAATTCTTCACCCAGCAAGGGCACCGCACAGAATGAGCTCCGCAGGGCAGGGAAAGGCTTATAAAGCCTTCGCACGCCCTGCAATTAGGCTCAGAGCGTTCTGATTGGTTGGTTTAAGCCAACCAATCAGTGCTCTGACATGTAAATGAAGAGACTGACAGGTAAGTCTCTACATTTACCTGTCACAGCACTCTGGTTGGTTGGCTTGAAATCCAACCAATCAGAGTGCTCTGTGTCATTTTACACAGCGTGGGAAAGTTCTTTGGAATTTTCCCATGCTGTGTAATTTGACTCATAACACTCTGGTTGCTTTCTTTTATTAAACCCAAATTTTTGGACGAAAATGAATGCACATGTCTACCATTTGCCCATCCTTGCAGGGTTGCATTTGCGAGTAGTGTTTGTGCATTTGAATGTTTTTTTTTATAGAGTATATGTGTGCATACAGTGGTGTATTTGTATGTACTGTTGTCATTTTAATGCAGTGGTATATTTTTCTGTAGTGTTTGTATGTAATGTTGTCTTTTAAATATGGGTGTGCTTTTGGGTCTAGGATTTGTTTGATTGAAGGGGTGCTTGTATATAACTTTAATGTTTTAAAACAGGGTTGTGCTTGTATAAGGGATGTGTTTGAATGCAGGGATGTGTTTGCATCTGATGTCTGTGTTTGATTTCAGGAATGTGTTTGCATGTTGTGTTGGTGTTTTATTACTTGGATGTATACACATACACTGCCACATACATATTTACATAGATTTACATACACATAAACATACTGGCACATACGCACGAATTTATATACACACTGACACATGCACACACCTTAACACATGTACACAACCTGACACACAGATACATGCACACTGACATGTATACACACAAACAGATGTACACCCTGACACAGGTACATGCACAGTGACACGCACACGCACCCTGACACGCAGATGCATACACACTGACATGTATACACATTCACAGAAGCACACCCTGACACACATACTGATCTACATACTTACACAGGTATAAACAAACACTGCTTGAGTTTCCAGAACATTGGAGGAAGATGAAGAGGTCTGTAATTCCATAGGCTCTTGATGTAACAAAAACCCAAGCCTCTGTTGTTATTGTTATCCAATGAATTTGTCCCAGATGAAATCCCCAAAAGAGATTGTGGTCTCCCAGCTACTACGATAGATCATTTTGACCTTAGTAGATATGAGGATCCTTTGGTTCAGATCTTCATTTGTGGACTGTGAAGAGAACTCAATTTTAGGTATCCTGTGCCAGTGTGCTCATCTTGTAAGCCCTATCTTGA